GAAAGGTGAAATAAAACAGACAATCTAGAGTAGAGGACATTTATTAAAGTTGGGTTTTGAATGAAATAAAAATTTTTCAGAGAGTTCAACCATAACGTGACCTCTATGTCAARTAAGAAAAATTAAAAGAAAAAAAATTGTTAAATTGGTTTGTTCATCATATGCAGTAGCAGTCAGAAATACAAATAGTGCAAACTGCAATATCACAGGTTCTCACACAATGGATCAGACTATCAAAAAAAGAAACTGAAAGGCAAATTTAGTAARGTTTGTCTTGCAGGCATAACATCTTAATATTTATGGTACAATACCATATTAATGAATACTCTGAGTTGCAAAAAGCAACCACTAAATTCCCCAAGGCCACAGCTGCCTAATTCAACTGTTATAAAAGCAATAACGAAAAACACAGGCTGAAAAATCCCTTGACTTCACAAATTTGGACATAATTGTAAAATACATCATGGGAGAACCTCGATTATCAGAAAGAGGTTGGATACTGATGAATATTAAAACAGACAATCAACTGACTGAAAACAGAAAAAAAAAAACCCCAACCAACCAAACAGCACTTCCTTTAATCAGGACACAAAAGGAAAAAAAAAAGGAGTTTTTTATTTCTGTACTGATTGACCTTAGAGCTGGAATTAATGTGCTTGTAAATACAAACTCATTATGTAACGGTGCATAGTATAGCCATAGGCTAATTATATTATTTTACTGTACATCAAGCCATTCAATTTCAGTTTCAGGACTGCTACACCAGACACACAGTTTTTTTCTTTCTTTCTTTCTTTTCTTTCTTTCTCTTTCTTTCTTTTCCTTTCTTTCTTTTCCTTTCTTTCTTATCCTTTCTTTCTTTTTTCTTTTTCTCTTTCTTTATTTCTTCCTTCCTTCCTATTTCTTTCTTTCTTTCTTCCTTTCTTTCTTTCTTTCCTTTCTCTTTCCTTTTCTTTCCTCTCCCCTAACCTTTCATATCCATTCTAAGGATAAGAATATTTATGTAAAGAATAAACATACCATGTTTCTGCTAAAAGCAAAAAAAAAAAAAACCCTTACAAAGATTTTAGAATTAATCAGTAATTATGTARCCTGCATTTAACTCCTAATTCATGGTAAGACTGCAATGTGAAGGCAGAACTGTTCAAAGCAAAACAGCTGAACATTCTAAGAAGCATTTATGCCAATTAAAAACCAGTTAATATCTGCATGATCTAAAAGCATTTTCCACACTTGGAGATCATGAATGTTTGGCTGGCATATGGTTAATGTAGATCAGTAACAGTGGGCAGAAAGCTCTTAAACATTTCAGAGTGGATAATTTAAGTCCCAGGCTGCCMTGTCACTCACACACAATTCACTGGCAGTACCTGCCCATTGCCTGAGCTGGAAGGTGCATTGAGCACTTTCCCAGCTCTCAGAAATATTTAATATCTCACCAYTAAGTCTCGTTTGTCATGGAGCTGCAAATGGCAACCTTCACRTTTGTTCTTCCACAAAATTACTGATTGAACAAGCAGAATGTAATTTACCAATAAYGGCCTGCACGTTACCCACTTTAATCTAAAACTCAGTTTCCAAGGTTCTCAATTTAAATACCACAATTAAAATTTCAATGTTAACGAGTATTCTAATTTAATACGCTGAAATATTTACCTTCTACACCCATGGCTGTTAAACATATTGATTGGTGGGATGCATACAAAAAACTCAAGTCTGATTTTGTGTCATTCTCCTTACAACAGGGCAAGTTTCCACCTTCCCACCTCAGTCATCACAATGTGATTTGGTTGTGGGACCACATTGTGGGGAAAAGTGGCCCCACAAGCCCTGATTCTGAAACTCAKCCAATTATTGTGTATGACTGAGGCCTGGGAAAAGAAAGGGATGTTAACAGCCTACATGGAGGAGGAATAACACAACCTTGAGAAAAGCATATTGGAATGTARAATTGATAAYGCAGGTGGCTGGAAATTATAAACATTACTAATACTGTAGCTTTTGCAAACTCACCAATTAYRTTCTGATTACTAATTAAACAGCTRTCTCTTRACCAATGTATGTTTGACACAAATGTATRCTCTGGTTGCTAAAGTGGATAAAAGAGGCTTAWCCCACAATAAACWWCTTCTTTCTTTCTGTTTTTTTCACMCACTTTTTGTGTGTTTTGTATCTATTCTTTTTTGTCRCTGTTTGGCCAGCAGYGACACCACATTTTTCCTGTGTTCACTCTATTTGCAGAAAYAAAAAGACCACAGTCTTTCTGCTGATCCTATTTCCCATTTTATCAGATTTTCATCCCCGTATCTCACTCTATAATAATCTTTCTGAGTATTTTGCACTTTAACAGAATTATTACTGAGTCATAATTTCCTTATAGCTTGTGTCTGATGAATAATGCATACAGTTCAATTACCTTATCTCTGGGATGATGGCACAGCTGTAACTTTCTCAATTATTTCAAGACATCCTGATATGGAAAAACAAGTTACCATAATCTCCCCCACTTGCAAAGGTGATGTTAAACACTGCTTTCTCTTATGATTTTTTTGGTGTTTGCTATCCCTCTCTCCTCTCACATCACCTCCCAAGCTTTATTAATGAATAGCCTTTATGTGAATCAGGAATATAAGAAATTTCAGATCAGCCATAATGTCAAATTGTTAAACTTACAGATTTTCTGACGATTTTTTTTTCCAGAATATTTGTTAAATAAATGTATTTTCTTCCTATTTTTGCAGCTATAAAATTACAGTGCACTCTGATTGCTTTTGCTGTTTGTTATTGATAAAATGTACAGTWCTGATTTCACACTTAGGCTACATTTCAACTTTAACATCAGCTGACCTTAACATCTGTTCAACTCTGATCTGCATGAACCAACAACAGAAATTTCCACATTATGCATCTTCTGAAGTTTGTCTGCATTTCACCCTGGAGCTTTTTCCACACTTTGCCTACTTAAGAAAACTGTTGTTTCTCACACTAGAATTATAAATTMCAACAGACACACATATGCCCACTGCAGTCATAAGCACTGAATGAGGTTCTGGCCTTTTCCTGGTGTCATGTTTGATAAAATCAGAATAATATCATCGTGATACCAGAATTATATATTCAATGTTTAAAGCATTTATATTTGCACTCATATTAGCCTTGAAAATATTAYATTTTTCATGCTGTCAGCAAGAACCAATCCCCCCCTTCTCCCCARTACTCCCATTTCTCCCCATTCCCCAAATCTTCAAGACTATAGAAAACCACTATCTATTGCTTTAATAAGCAATATTAAAACTGTTTCTGTCATCCAATACAGAGAATCTATATTCGAGCCAGCTTTCCAGATTAAAATTTATCATCAAATGTAGAGGAAGAGGCATGTGCAGGGTCCAAGTCACCATATCCTAATGTAGATTGGTCTAAAATAGGCCAAGATGAATGAAGCAGTAACTGATAATGCATGTCTAAAAAGGGAGTTTAAATGAGAAATGTGAATTACATGYAGATATTGACACAGTAGGTCTATGCTTAGATCATTGAGGGAGACCCAAATACCTGTCAGAAATTTCTGATGTGAGGTCTGCAGCATAGTTAATCTGGTGATAAATGATAAAGTGAAGCAAAATGGAGTATTTAAGAGCATGTCCCAATTCACCCAAAGAAATACCARACTCATCCAGACTCAGGATTTAGACTGAAAGCATTTCACCCCACTTAACACAATGATGTGTATTTTACATTTTTATTTACATTCTCACTAAAGCTATGAAAAAAGTGCAGCCATCAAGTATGGACATTCATACACTCATATCATGCATCCACATTTGCAATTTTATCTTCAGATGCTAATAAGACRTTTCTGGTTGAAAGTTTTTGTCACATGTGTAGTCAGTTCTTTTTATCTGAAAGGCCAAGATATCTCAATCATTTAAAAACTTAAGTTTCAAAGACTTTCACTATTAAAATATATATTTACTATTGCATTTCACTATAAAAATATATATTTACACACACACACACATACATATACACACACACATATATGAAAGAAGGTCTTCATGGCATTAGTTCTTTTTATGTATGTCTTAACATTTCAAATGGAATAGGCCCCAGATAATGGCAGTGACATTTCCATACCCCATTTTCCCTTTGTCCAAACTTTGCAGAAGTATTTTTTCTTTCAAATGTACTTGATTTTTATTAGACTTTTTAAGTGTGGTAATAAAAATGTCCCAAAGAATGCACTCTTTATGCAAACAAAATAAATTTCTAAACATTATTCTATCTGAACTGAATGAAAAAATGGATATTTTGTTGGTTCCATTGTTCATCAAATGCCTTCATCAGTCTGAACTTTTATTTCCTAAAGTAATCCACCACACTGACATTTTACCATAGAGTTAAACATGAAAGTTTTAATGAAACCATTCCATGRCTTTCAGCACATTCCAGGATTACTAAAATTAAGTGCCCAGCCAGACATCCCATGCTATTCCTCCTTACAAGACTTCAATCTCAAGGACAACTCTGACACATATATAACTTTATTTACATGAGGAAATTCTGATGGTCAAGTGGTTTATTTAATACAATCACCTTATATATGCTCCTATAAATGCATGAGTGATCAAACTGAGAATACAAACATTTTCCTCCCCTCTTTTTTGAGGTTATACTGTRCTGAGGTCTTCACAAGAAATTAAACTAAAATTTAGCAGTTTGTGAAGCATGTTTGTCTCTCCTTAGCTAGAAAAAATTATCTGAGACTATTTTTCTGCATTGTAGAACATTGGGATGATTACTTCTTTTTGAAAAGTTCTAACAGGTTTAATTTCAATTAAGCCTATGAGAACAAATCGCAGAGAAATAATTTCAGAAACAATTTTTCAATGTATACAAGAGTAAATCCATATGCTGCTGAGGATGAAGCACAATAAAGCATCATTGAGATAATCTATAGTTAAAATGATGGTGTATGACTTATGATTAAGCTTCATTACCTGCAGAGCAAGGGGCTTCCATCTCATATTTTTCAGTAAAGCTGGTGCTGAGGTAAGCATGCTCTGAGGTCGCTTTTTCAAAGTTAAGATAACACCACTCGGATCCTCTCGTAGTGCATTCACCAAATTTTTCAACTGCCACCCCACCTGGTAACCAGTAAAATCATTACAATAAAATTGAGGTACAGTATTCAATACGTAACGTTCCCTTTTTAAATAAGATTAGTAAATAACATAATAGGAGKGTATATATATCATAAAGGAGATAAACTCTAGAAATGTCACAAATTAATTACTGCATAAAAATCACAAAAATTAAAATAATTATTACAATGTATTAAGATGTATATGCATCATTTCAGGTTTTAGAATTAATAAATTACTGTAACGTCTCTGCAAATGCACATTAAATCTCAAGGTGATTTCAAACTTAGCTCTGGYACACAGACTTTAGAGATTAGGAAGTTAAAAAGCTCTGTCTTTTGCATTGACAGTTCATTTCAAAACTTAGAATTTTTTACTTCATGATTACTATTTAAAATCCACTAAAACCAGATGTAGTCATTCACTATTAATCCTAGGAGCTTACGCAAGTACAAACCAGCTCAGGAAAATCTTCTACTCTGCACACTGAAAATCAAGTCAGAACCACAAGGCCTTTTTTTAGAATAGTACCTCTTTTGTGATGATTTCAGAAACAAATACCATAAATCAATGAGAGAAATGTAGCCCAGTCACTCTATTAGTATTAGTCCAAAATAAAGTTTTCCTAATTTAATTACAGCATTTTGAAATATTCTAAAATTAAAACCTTGATTAAAATAGAAAGCAACAAGTCTTCATTTATTAATGGCAAGACCGAAATTTCTGAATAATTTATTTTGCATTTCTGGAAAAAGTACTTCAAATATTAAAACATTATGACTCATGACAATGGTTTTAGGTCTGAATAGTGCTTATTTACAAACTACCTATTGTGAAATTATTTACTACATTACAAGTATGCCTTTTCAAGTTTGGCACCTAGACTGGCAATACACAGAACCATAGATCCCTTCAAAATCTTGGCCTGTAGACTAGAAAGTGATTATTTTGGCAAACTTGACAGCTTTTAGCCCTCTTTTAGCTCTTTYCCCCAACCAGCCCCCGCTAAACAAAGTAAATTTTCCKGATGTGTAAAAGATCAGTYATGAATATTTTCCTTCTTTCACCARTTGTRCAAGAACATTGTCAAGAAGAAAATTATCCAACTGAGAAGCAGAAAAACGTAAATCAAGAACTCTGAAGTGATAAGGTTACTTTATAGCATGTCAGTACATTTGAAAAATCAAATCAGCAGTCTGAACAAAGAGCTCAGATTTCCTTAGCATTGTTATAGTGCAATATGACACAAATTYTTATTTATTACCTATGCCTAAGCAAGATAATTGCATGTAGGTTGTTGCTACTYACTTTGTACCTTACTCCCTATTACACCAAGCCTCATTTTGTTTGTCTAGTATCACTTATTTTAAGAACTGCTTCTCCCACACAAGCACATCACTTAAGCCAACACTAATCTTCCCAAGAACCCTGAATCACAGCCATGGCTCAAATCTCATCAACTCTTTCCTCAGCTCCTGTGAACCCACCTGTCCTGTTTGCACACAGCAAAGCTCATTATTTCCAGGATGCACGTCTACAATGAGATCATTGTACGCAAAGAAAAAGCATATTGATAACATGCATCTTTAKAGAATGTTTTTCTGCTTTCACAGATGGTTTCCAAGCATGCTGAAATCCTTATTTTCACTCCAATGTTCTAGGCATATGGCTATTACACTAAAAAAAAGTAAAACATGAGCTTAACCAACTCCAGCCCAATTCCCACACGCCACTGAAGTCTCCATTGTGTTTCAACAGCATGTATACAAAATATCTCCAAGTCCAAGTTTTGTGTCACAATATTATGATTTTATTTWAAAAAACTGCTACTCTTTAATAGCTTTTGTAAATAAACATTACTATTTACAATACTGTTTTTGTATTTTTAGAGACTTCCACCACTGCTTTTGATGCCTGATGATTTTTGCTTTTCCTTTTTACGCTTTCTGTACCCTCTATGCATTCCCCTGTACCCCTTAGCCCCCATGCTTATAATTCCTGATATTCCAGCTTAGTTTAGGAGTTCTGCTGGGCAGAGAGACCAAACATCCTCAGGAAGGGCTCAGTGTGCCCTGTGCTATCTTAAACCCGAGCTCAGCCTTGGGTGAAGCCTTCTGTCCAGAACATCTTGTGTAAACTGGGCTCTGGCCTCATCTGGGGAGGAGGATTCATTAGAATAAAAAAACATTACTACATTTGTTAAGTTTCTTATTAAAAAATCCTAGATAGATAAGCTAATTCCTGAAACCTATAAAACTTGTATCTTATTGGGGAAACCTAGATAGATATGCTAATTCCTGAAACCTATAAAACTTGTCCCCGTGCTGTACACGGGGGTGCATTCTGCCATCAAGTTGTGCACCTGGGATCCCAAATCCCGAGGTAAAACCCTTTTTATCCCCTTAACCATGTCTGTGTCATTATTAAAAACTGGCCTTTCAAGGCAACACTTTGAAGCAATATATTCCCTGTCTTTAGATAATGTCACTGTGGGCATATGCAAGATTTCATTTGCTATCCAAAATAAGGAATTAATGGCCTATAGTTCATGTAAGCCATCTCTGTACCTAAGCTACTGTACCCTGTAATTCTCCAAGGCAACAACCAAAGAYGGATTTCTGGAGCAGAATCCTTCTGCTGAATAAAGCAGCACAGACAACCATGAGGAGAACACACTTTGACCTCAGTTAAAGTCAAAGGATGTAAAGTTCTTCCCATTTAAGTTGGTAGGATGCTACATACTTTAAAGCCATCTGTTTCTCACTGAAATAGCCAGGGGAATATAAATAACATTGAGGCTTTTTGGTTACTCTAGCATTTAAAAAAATTATTTTAAATGCACTTTCATACTTTGCAGAGATAAACTGCCTCATGTATTTGAAATATGATGCCTTACATTGCAATAAATGGGAGATTATTTAGTCTCTTTATGAGAGTTAGGGGGATTAAAGAAAAAAAAAAAATCACTTCAAAGCACTAAATCTGATGTATTTAATTTAGAAGCTCATGAATAAAAACAATTTAACTTAATTTTTCGCAGTGAAATTCTGAGTTTACTATAAATTTCAAATGAAGGTCATCCTCTGTTTTTATCTAGTTCCCTGACAAAAGTTTTCTAGCTGTTCAGACAGGCCTTGATGCCTTCTCATAATCTGAACAGAAAATACTAAATTGTCCTAAGAGGAACAAGTCACATAAGAGGCAGTCAACAATCAATTGAAAGAAATCAATGTCCACACAGGAGGCCTGTTTTTCAGTTCCAACACAGTTCAGATACTCTCAAAATTCATATTGACACAGACAAAACAATTTTATTTGAGGAAGTCAGGTTGGAAAGAGGAAAAGGCAGTGACTATAACTGAACAATAAAACTCTTCTTAAAAAACCCACTTCAGTCACAGGCTGAATTAAGTGTGAATTGATTTTATTCTCTCTTAACATCTCCTTTCTCATTACCACAGGTAACAATTTTCAATTTCTAATCATCAAGTTTTTGGACAGAATTTTCAAAGTTCCTATCATATCATTTATCCTGCTCCACGTACTGCAAAAAAAAAGAACAGTAATAAGAAAGTTTTGATACTGGTTTGAAAATTCAATGGACATGTAAGAAAACTGTATTAGCCAACAACTTTCTTTATAGTAAAATAACCTGAGCAATTAATTCTGAAAAGAGAGCACTGTGCTGACCAGGTGCYCATTTTTAAAGGCCAAGGAAGTTACTGTTGCTTGCTTTAAAAGCCCCCATCTGCCACCTGGAAAAAAGAACACACCTCTGAGCAAGTTGAGATATATTTTAAAAAATCTCTATGTTTCTTTGGCTTTCAGCAAACATATCTGGATGACAATATTACAACAGCCTGAAATTAAACTTTTATTTTGAATTCCTATTCTAAATTGTCAAGAATTTAACTTTTAGATAATTACAAGTTTCCATAAATAGTTACTTTTTCCCCCAGATGAATCTATTGCCCCCCCTTATGACAAGCTTAAAAAATTGATAATAATCTTCCTTTCTTTCTTAAAGTAAGCATGACCATTCATTGAATCTTTTTTTACCAGTATTCCCATCCTCCTGTGCTAATTCATGAGTACTGCTGTATGTTATGGTACAGAAAGGAAGTATGTAAAGTGTTAACATGCAGACAGCTCAAATACAATTAGATKGACCTAAACCAAATATTTTTTAGGATGCTACAGCCTGAAAAATCCAGGACTTGCATACCCAAAGAACAGCTACATCATTTAAAAGCAGTGTGCAAACCCAATACACAGCGAAACTACATCATAAAAGTCAAAAGGTAAACAGAAGCAAGTTCATATTTTTCCAGGCTTATTTCTATTCAAAGGATGACCAGAATCCCATGGAAGTTAATGAAAGCTTTCTGCCTTCAGGAAAACTTCATTTTTTCCATTACTTTAATTCTTTCCTCACTTGCAGATTTGTAAAAGGTAGTAGYAATATCTTTATGCTCTTGAAGGAAAAATTAACATCTTGCTGCTAAATATAACCTGCAAAGCCATGTGCTTTTTCTAACTAAGTGAATATGCAAAATCTACTTGAGTGTCTAATTTAAAAAAGTTAGTGGACTGGGGAGATAACCAAAATTCTTTTTTTTCAATGTTGCCTATAATTAGTTGCATGCACCCAGAGTGCTTTGACTTATCAACCATTTCAGGCTTCAAATTTTTATTCATTTTTCAGCTAAAAAACCTGAGTAATTTCTAGGAGGGAAGTGTATTAACCTTAAAGAATTTCTATGTAAAACACCATCGTGCATTTCATGACAAAAAAAAAAAAAAATAGTGCACAAGCATATAATAAAAACCCCAACACTGCACTTCAAATAACTATCAAACATAGCATGTTGTTAAGCAGCTCAGAATATGACAAGAAATTTAACAGCTTCATGCTGCTAAATTAACAGAATGATTTTCATGAACACTGGCCAGAAACAAGGACAGTCAGCTGGTAGCCCCATGAAAAAAAAAATGTTACCASC